CGCCTCCCGCCGCCCCCAGCGCCGCGCGCCCCTCGCCCGGGTTTGGCCGTTTGGAACGGACACGCTCTTGGCTTCTGCGCCGTTTCCAATGGGAAGCTCCGTTGTTGCTGCTCTTTCCCCCTGAAGGATCCCGCCTATTTATGTAAAGGCTGATTTTTGCGTGCCATGGAGCTAGATTAAATGTCCACGGCGGGCTGCAGGCAGCGGGTTCAGAGGTGTTTCTCTGCCATCTCGGTTGCGGATCGATTGAGGTGCCCGGGCTCTGGAAAGATGTCACCGAGCATCAAAAACTTGGATTGCTTCTCGCCGATGCTCTGCCACTGTAAAGTGGCGTGCACCAACAACACGCTATCCCTAATGTTTGGATGTAAGGTGGGTCTATGGAAGGGCTTTCCTGGAAGTAGAAACCAAGTTTAATAGCATATTAATGACTGTCGCTGTGTCTAATCTATGCGTTAAATTTCAATTAAATAGCATGTGTCTTGTTCCTTGCACTAGGTGATTTTTCAGGAATCTCAGTGCTTGTGACAGGAGTAAGGAATTGCTGTGCTTGCTGGTTAAAGATCCCTTTGACCAACGTTTCAAATTTGTGCTGCATGTAAAATGTCGTCATTCCCCATTAATCAGCATTAATCATCATGTAATCAGTTTATTGCACTTGGCTTTCGTTTTATTCAGCTGTAAAGAATTGAATACACAGGGGACTTGCGCGGAAATGCAGGGCTGGAAATGCCTCCTGACATCATTCTGACAGAAGCGATTGCTAGTGGCACGTTTGGGTTTAACGGTGCCCTCGGGCTTTTAGTCATCTTCGGACTAAATCAGCTGTTCAGGCTTTAGAGGAGTAAAACACGTAATTTGATAATTTTTAGGGTAGAAAATGGAATATATTCAATGTCATTTCAAAAGTGCTTTTCCAGGAAGATCAGCAGATAATGTGAAGGATATGAGGGGATCCCCAGCTGCTGGGAAGACTCCTTAAAATGGCTTGTTATGTGTGTAAAGTTACTTTGAGGCTGAGGTGCAGAAGTCTCTGCCTCCAGAAGTTATTTTGCCTAAAATCAGCATTCATTTTTACCCCCAAAATTGTGCTGGACTGTGCTGAGCAGTTCTGTGAGTGTATATACATGCAGATAAAACTCATATGCATATGGACATTTCTTTTTATACATGGAAACCGCAGTATATATTGTGGTTTAGGTGTGCATATATAAAGCACAGTCTTGTTGATGTTGCATAAATGCTACCTAGTTTGAGAGGGAGGAGTCTGAATTTTTGTGGATCTTTTGACAGTGTGAATGATTTTTATGAAATGTGAAGCAGAATGCTTCATTTCCACTGGAGATCACTTGCTGCTTTTTTTTGTATCTACTTGCCCTTCTAGTATTCAAAGGTTTTTAATTGTAAACATGTTTATTTACTGTTGCAAACTGGAAACTCTGCTGTAAAATTAGTGTGTTTTTTTTTTTTTTTTTCCTCCTTATTCTTTTTATGGAACTGCAGATTCTTTCCTTAGGTAGAACACATTCTCATGTGTAAAACTTGGCTTGGGGGGAAAAACCCTTGTGAAGTAAGGGTGAAAATATGATTTTAATTCTGCCATTTGAATTGCAGATAAGAGATGCTTTTCACTTAAACAGCAAATTGAAAATATCCAGAAACGGCACTTCAGTCATGGTGGCGGATGCAGCCAAGGGTTGTTTGCTGCTGTCCTCGCGCATGGGGGCGATTTTAGTCCCGGGTGTTTGGTGGTTCAGAGCCCTTGAGGAAGGTGGCGCAGCCACGGCTGCCGCGGGGTATTAGACGCAGAAGTGAGTCTTGCAGGCAGATGGTACCTGGAGGGCAATGAGGTTTTTTAATGGCATTTTAAAAATATGTTTAGTTCTCTGCCTGCTTTAAGTGTGAGGTTTTTATTCTGTCCAGTAAAACTGTTTAACCAGCGTAATGTGGGTACTCCATAGTAAGCAAATACCAAAAGAACTGGAAGTTGTAGGTTTTAATAATTCTGAGCTTCTGGTATTTACTATTCTGATTTTTTTTCTTTAATCTTTATTTAAAATAAAAATACCCGAGTTGTGCAGCATTAACCCTGAAATGGTATTATCTTCTGAGGTGGTATGGGTTTGAATGCTGTGGCTTACTGCGAACTGAAGGGTCAGTGTCTCAATGACAGCATATGTTGAACAGCTGTCTGTGCAGAGCAGTAATGGAGAATAAGCTGTTCGGTCCTACCCGTGCCGGGAAAAACTGATCTCCTGGAGATATTTATATGAATACATTATTTTCCTTCTTTTCTATTTTTTTTCTTGACCATGTGAAAAGAATATTAACCATTTGACTGCTGTTCCATATGTCTTAGTCCTTGATATGCCAGAATGGAGTATTAATACACAATAGTACAGTTTTTCCTGGTGTTTATTGCGCTTACTTTATATTGGGTGTTGCCTCCGAATGTCCATGAGTTGAAGCACTGCCCAGGTGTTTAACACCGTCTGCGTGTATCATGATGCAAGGCTGTGACCAAATTAGCATCTGGTGTACCATTTGATTCAAGATGCAATAAACTGAAGCCTTCAAAGGAGCCTGCAAAAGAATTGCATCTGTTCAAGGCTTCTTCCCATCACTTTGGTGTTCAAATGTTATGTTTTGTTTTAGAAATCTCTATTTCTGACCTCGTACTTCATATCATCCAGTATGTCATGTATGGAGGCTTAAAGTGTAATACCAAATTCTGTGCTAAGTCAAGAAGTCCTGAACATACTTTAGCATGTGTCTTTATGTCACTTAAGTCTCTCTTGTGTTAACCACAGACCTTCCACGTTTCAATGTGAATAGTTAATTGCTTGCTACAAGGCTTTATTTGTGTGTTTTTTTTTTTTTCCTGTAATCTGCCCAGTTCTTACAGTTGTACCAATTGTCCATTCTACAATGGCTCATAAATTCCTCCTTTAAAAAAAGAAGTGAGATACAAATGTTAATGGATGAATGCCAAAAAAGAAAATCCAACGTATGAGTATACTGACAGATGGGAAATCTGATCTTTGGTACCCCACATGGGAGCTAATCTATTTGTGATGGAGGTCCAAAGACAACATAGGGAGTGAGGAGCAAACCAGGATTTTGGGAATATGGATTTTTCCATGCTGCCTACGAGGTGCAGCTTTCAGAAGAAACTAGCAACAAGACAGTGAGTGAGTTGGGCTTGACAGTGAAATCTGATGGGTTGGGGAGGGTGAAAGGTAGGCTAGTCCTTCTGTATATAGTTCCTGATGGATTTAGCTGTACTAACTGCCTTATGGACATTTCAGAGTATGAGGTTTATACTGTGGCTAAGATGCCGTAGAAAGATGCCTTAGATGCAGGCATTAAAGCATTCTTTTAAGAGCCTTGAATTTTGAGAAAGCTTTGACCCTCAAGGCAAAAGTTTCTGGAAAAAGGAGAAAAATACTCATAGCTGGAATTCCCTGCAGCCTGACAGTGTGTGTGCTTCCCATTTGATTTCACTTTCATTAATGTGACAATGTCAAATCAATCTACTTGCAGACATATCAGTATAAAATGCCTCCATCTCAGTTAGCTTTTTCAGGAGTCTTTTAAAAAATGTTAATCTGAAAAAAACTTCTTGTTGAGTTTTTTGGGTTTTTTCTTCACTTTTTTTTTTTCTTTTATTATTTGGTTATTAGGAGCATATCAAAATGACTTCTATTTAATAGTGAACATGATACAAAGAACTTGCTGTTGAGCACCTATCCTTAAATGAGAGGGTGAGAGGGTGCAAAGATACTAGCAGATCTGCAAATAACACCTTGATTCTGTGCTGTATAACAAAGCATGTGGAAAATAAGACTTCTGAATTTGGTCCTGGTTTTGTGCTTGCACACTGTGCTAGTGTCACAGTACCTCATAGTTGCACCTTTAAGGACATCTGAGTTGTGTGCAGGCCAGTGCTTGGCTGGAACGCACTGGTGACTTTATGTTCTTCTGTTTTCCTCTCTGAGGAAGATGCTGTGTCTTCTGAGGCACTTTACTTGTGTCTGATCTAGCGCTTAGCACCAGAGGATTGGAAAGACTCTCACAAAGTATGTCAGCAGCTAATGTGTTGCTTCTCTTGCACTGCAAGCTTTGCCTTAGCAGGCTTCTCTGGAGTTTGACTTAATGGTTGCTTTTCCGTGTCAAAATTATTGGAGCTTATTTCCTCATAAGCAGTGTCTGGAAGTCCAAGCAGCAAAGTTTGTTTTTTTTGGGAGGCAGGGTGCTTTGTGAGAATTGCAGATATTGAAATGTTTGTATTCCTTTTGCTTTCAAAGTATTGCTTTCCAGTATTGCTTCCCAGGAGCTCTGTTCTGTTGAATACAATGCAGCGCAGTGTTTCCTATTGACTTATATTGCTGGGAAGATATTTTGAAGGGCCTTTCCAGTTGGTTCTTTTTTTTTTTAGTTAAAATTATATACAGGATTGGTGCGAGCAAGCCTCAAATTTGGAGAGGCGCATACCCGTGGCCTAAAACCGTAATGTTTTACCACAGTCTCTACTTACTGTATCAGAGAGAATCTGATACTGTGAACTTCTAATTATTTCTCAAATCTGAATGCTTATCTCTAGTTGTTAATCTCTGCTTTGTCCATGTGTGAGCTTGACTTGTGCAGTGGAAAGCTTGGAGATGGGCTATGCAGTTTGCCTGCAGGTTTTCCTAACTTTGCTTGAGAGTTTTTTACTTGAAGAAGAGGACCTCTCCTCCAGGAGAGAAAGCCAAATTATGGCTTGTGTTTTAAGCATGCTTTCACTCTCATTCAAATATTAGAAGTATCTTAACACTGAGTGTGTACAGAACATTATGCTCCAAAATGTCCCATAAGACATGGATTGATTTGTGCTTCTAACATGAACGGGCTTTCAATACCCTTCCCGTGCAGAAGAGAACTGCAGTTATTGCTGCCTTTCCTTTTGTTACTGTGTCATCAGGTAGCTAAGGACACGTTTGCCTGGTGGACTCCTTTTCCCTGTGGGTGTCACATTCTGTATGGCTTGAATCTGTAAGGTAACTCCATTGCATGTGGCTGTGTGCTATCAGTCTGAGGCCACAGGGCTGGGAGGGGGGTCCATATTCACTTGATTTTCTCTTTTTGTACTCTTCATTAGAAGAACATGTTAAAAATGTAAAACCACAATTTAATAATCTCCAGAGGGTAGATTATGCACTAATCTGGGTTTGTTTTGAAATATTTTCCATCTAAAATATATACAGGAGCTCAGACAGAATAAACCCAGATCCCTGTTTGAATGAGTTCTTAAAGCCTTTTTTCTTCATTATGCATTTTATCTATCTTGTATTTTGAAAAGCTTTATAAAATTTCAACAAAAATCTCTACTAGTTCTCCATTATTATGTTGCAAATACTTTTGTTCATTTTTAGTGTTGTTTAACTGCTGGGCTTGTGAATTTAAACAGGGAGACCGGGACCTGGGTAGTTCACAGGGTGCCTGGGTATCCCTGTGGGGAGGTCTGGGCACTGTTCTTGTGTGACCTAGCATGACTTTATTAAATATTTTTTCTGTAGTTATCACCAGCAAATTGTTTTTAAACCAGTCACAGAATACTGTGGTAGGTTTCATCCCCAACGAGTTATTCCGTTTGCCTGGGTGATTTTTAGAAGAAATCCTGGTAATTGTGTTGTGTCAGAAAAGAAACAATTTGACTGCATTTTGATCCACTTACAAACCTGCAGCTGAAGCCTTCAGGACAATGTCTGTCAGGGTATGTGACAAATGTTTAGCATGTGGTAGGTTTGCACTTGATGATTGCAGAATAGTCTGCAAAGCTTCTTAAAAAGAGTTAAATTTCTTGGCCACAGCTGAAGGTTCTTGCTGCGCTACACAAGTTCCCAGTGAGGCGGTCGAGTGTGCGGTGTCCGGGGCCTGTCCTCTGCGCTGGCCTGTGCCGCGCAGTCCTCACTGTCCCTTCTTGCCAGGGTCCCTCAGCAGCAGAGCTGTGCCCAGGACTCCAGTACTTTGTGAGCAGAGCAGTGGGCCCTTGCTAGCCCCTCTCATGGCTCTGGCTGTTCTCCCCTTCTTGCTGTGGTGCCAGCCCTGCTCATGTCTCATCCTGCTGTGAGCCACTTGAGGGCATTAGAGCAGCAGAAAATTAATACTGCATCTTTCCGTGGTGTGCGGGGCTTGTGCCTGACCCAGCTGGCCACCAAGTCCATGGGAAGCAAGAGCCGGGGTGGGCAGGGGGTTTCCCCCATGGAGGGGACAGAGACAAGGTGGCTGCTCCTTGGGACCGCAGCAGCCCCGGCGTCAGCTCCGCGGCGCAGCCCCACGCTTGTGGAGTGTCCGTGAGGCCATGGCAGCAGTGTGGGGTTTGGAGTCGTGCCTCCCAGCACAACCAACTTGGCATATCTGAAATAAGGGACTGCTGCTCGTAGCACGGGCACATTTGAAGGGTGGCTGCCCGTGCCGGGTCACGCAGCCAGTGGCGGCTGGCCGGGGTGATGCTGCGCGATGAAGGGGCTGCCCCTCCTGTGGAGAGCGGCTCTGGCTGCGCATGGATGCGCCTCGGAGCTGGAGCGCTCCCGTGCCCACAGGCACGTGTCGTGGGGGGTATGCCTGTGTGTGATGTGTGGGTAGGATGAGGGCAGTTTGGTATCTTTCAGAATAAGTAGCACGGTGAATGTTGTGTTTGTGTACATCTCATGTTCCCATCTCCTGTTTGCTCTTTACAACATGATCATGCTTCTTTTTGGCTATTTTAAACATGAATTCTGAAGCTTTTCAGCAATTTCAAGGTGACCTTGATCGTTTGGAAATGCTTTCCAATCTTGAATAGTGCATCAGCATACATTAGAATTTCACATTTAAGATGTTATTTTCTTTTTCTTTTGAGATGGTTATAGCCCTTGTTAGTGCCCCATATGAAAGAAAATGCTTCACTACAGTTTTTTTTTTTTATTCTTAATCTAAATTAATGACACACTGACCCAGTAAAACTTCATGCATAATCTGTTCTTTTAGGCAGTAATAGAGTAGATGAATCTTGGTAAATAAATGTTTCTCAAATAAATCTAGAGTTTCTTTAATTAAGCTTGGGAGTGTCCAAATAACTGTTTTTAATATATGTATCTGCTTTCAGAAGAAATCAAGGGAGTTTCCTGAGCTTAGCCTAAAAGTAATCATGATTCCATAAAAGTTTGTCTTGATTGCCCTGCAACAGTAGTTGTTCGTTGTGTGTGTGTTAAGTTATTCTTAGTTTTTAACCTCAATGCCACTTTTAGCTTTTGACAGGGTCTTGTCAGGTCTGAACTGTGAACTTACTCCGCTTTCAGATTCCATTGTCCTGTATTTGATTGTCAAATTTAAGATTGAGCCTGTGAGGGCCATTGCGGGTCCCAGTCTGGTCCATGTCCCTCGTGGAAAGGCGGGCAGCCAGGCAGAGCGGAATTCCTGCTTCCTCTGTGCTCCTTGCGGCTCTGAGGTTTCTCTTCCAATCACCAGGTCACAGGGAGTGTGATAGTGGAAGTGTCTGTTAGGAAATAAAGGTCAGTGATAGCCAAAAAACACTATTTCTGATGCTTAACATCATTGCTGCAGCAGTCAATGTCATTCCTTTATTTTGCAAGTTAAAAATAAGCCTAATATTTTTAGCATTCGGAAAATAGTTGATTGGGGAAAGTCTAATGCTGAGCAATCTACCATTGCTTTGCTGCAAGGAAAGGAAGGGAGGCTGTATGCTCTGTCCCTGGTGGGTTGCTGGGCGACTGGGTCATCTCGAGATACCCGTGCACTAAGGATGGGAAAAATTAAGACTTTTGAGTGACCATTGCAGCCTTTCACAGCTGTCAGCATTCCCCATTTCTCCTTTTCCCTCCTGTTAAGTAGGTCTGGAAGTGTCTTGAGTCTGTTTAAAAAGAGTCTGGTACTCTCACTTTGCTTTTGGGAATTACTTCTTTGTCTTGTAGCAGTGTTTTGCTTGGCCAGTATTTATGGAGGTGATGTTCCTATTGCTTCTGCCTTGCTCTTTCTAACATTTCAGAAGCGTAATGTGCCTCAATTGAGGTCTTGATCTCAGATCAGCGGATCTGGCTAAAAGAAGCTCTGTTTTTTCAGTATCACTGTGTGTATGCATACCTGTTTGTATATAGGTGTCTATATAGCATATATAGAGACACATAAAAGACTTGGGATGATAAGGGGATCAAAAAATCCCTTTGGCAGACTTGCTGATCAGCGTGGGAAAAAGCTATTGAGGCTGATGGGGTTGTAAATAATGAGCTGGCAGTGAGTTTCTGCTGCTCTGAGTTGTGTTGTCTTTTTCAGACGATAAGCATGAATATTAAAACTAACTTGCTACTGCAGTTGGAGCCAGTTGTGATTCGTTAGGATTTGAAGTGAGCAATAAGGTCACATGGTTTTGTGTAAATACTGGGATATTAAAACTTGCATTAAAAATGAAGCAACATGATAAATTGAACTGAAATCTTCTCTAGGTATCCATTTTTGAATGAGTAGCTTTCCTTCTGTTTTACTTTTCATGTCTGTGCAGTGGGGAGTAACATATTTATATGGCCATACAGATTAAGTGCTGCAAGCAGGACTCTTCTAGTCTGTTCATAAATAGACTGTGTTTGGATGGAATTTTTTCTTTAGGTCACCATTTCCCACAAAATGTCAAATTATGTTGCATTTCATAAACCTTCCAGTTTGACAAAGTATATATGCTAACTTCTCAGGGACGCTAACAACGGAAACCTAAGGCACACATAAATGTATAAGTAAATGATTGAAAATAGCTTGACTCTTATTTGATTTTTTTTCATTTTCCTACTGGCTATTAACCTTTTTAACAATAAAATATTTATTACCTTATGCTATAAGAGAAGTAAAAGGAAAAGCTTTCTAGGAAGGGGAGCTGGGGACAGCTACCATGTACCACGAGGCTGATTCTTTTCTGTGCCTGTTGTTTCAGAAATACCGCTATCAGGATGAAGATACCCCTCCCCAGGAGCACAGCTCCCCGCACATCAGCAGTGAGGTGACAGGTCCAGAGCTCGTCCACGTATCGGAGAAGAACTTGTCGCAGATCGAGAATGTACATGGATTTGTTTCTCACTCCCATATTTCGCCGGTAAAGGTAGGCTTTTTTCTTTTTTTGGTCTCTTGTGATAGTGATGTTTGTGAAAGAAACGTAGCAGATACATCTACTTGTATTTCTACAGAATTGTTTCTTTGTAAAATTTCTTTACAGGTGTTAAAGCTTTTGATAGAGTTCAGTACAGTATTCTGACAAAAAAGCACATCAAATAAAACACTCCTATAATAAATCTATGTAATGGAAAGGTCTCGGATGTAGTTATGTTTGGGCACTGCTGCTGCTATTCAGTTGTGTTTGGGGGTTCCTAGAAGGATCTTGTATAATTAGTTCCAAATTTGCTTCCAGCAAATATTTCACTCGAACTATAGGAAAAGTGTAATAAACTAAATATAAAGTATCTCTTCAGGAACAAAGCAAAAAGAATATTGGACTGTATCCTGAAAAACAAACTTCAAGACTGGTTTAAAAACTTAGTGACCCCCAAGTGGGAAGCTTTTGGGGTCGTGGCAGACAGGTCTGGTGATGCTGGGATCCAAGAACCAAGTTGCCTTGAACTTAGAGTTTTCAGATGTTCATTGTAAGGAAGACCTTTTGGCATGTACTAGCTCTTTGCAAATGAGCTTTTAAGTCCTCTGTAGAGGAACAGATTGGATGGTGGTTTGATAATCTTTGTTCCAGCTTTGCCAGGATTTAAAAAATGCTTGTGTTGGTATTGAACATGCTACTTGTTTTTTTCTTCCCCATTGTTTAACCTTACTAATATTGAAAAAGACACCT